GCCCCCGCCCCCGCCCCGCCTTCCTCTTCCTCCTTGCGCCTCCAGGCGGCTCCACAATGTGAAAAATACCAGGTCTCGCGTGAGGCGTTTCTTTAAGTGAGAGCCTGCCCCTTTAAATACGCCCCGGTCGGAGGCCAAATAGTTTAAGGCTTCCGGGCATGCGCACAGTGTTGTGCAGAGGAATGCCTTTACCTGGACGTGAGGTAGACCGAGTTGAGTTTCTTGCGCGCTGTGGGGTTTGATGACAAGGTTGGCATTGGGACTCCGACCCTATGCCCCCAGAAGGAGGGCGACGTGGGCTAGTATCGCGCCTTGGGACATGCGGGGGTGGGGCCGGGAGAAGAAGCAATTGGCGCTGCTGGCGGTCGGTGTCTGGGGGTGCTTGTGGACGCGCCAGAAGGCAGCGCCGCGGGAGACGGGTTCCGCGGACTGATGGCAGAAATAGGGAGTAGTAGGAGTGAGTTCGGCGGAGCATTGGTGAAGGAAGAGCATGAGGGCAAAGGCGCCCCCTTCCTCCATTTCTAACAATCTTCCCAGAATTTGTCCTCAACCAACAATTCCCCGACCTTGGGTCAGCCAAACTACGCTCCCGCTCTCCGTCCTATCCCCTCATCAACGAATCTGTTGCTTAGGAACACGGCACTTTTATGCTTAACTCCACGTGGGTCCCTTGGCGGCCCTCCAGCTCGGTCCCACTCGCACTAAGATGTTTGGTTGTAATTCCCTCGTCGTTGCTTCCTCCCCAAGTTGTTCTGCGTATTCCACCAGCTTAGAATGTCTTCATATCTCCTCCTTTTTGGGGAAAGAGTAGCTCATTATTCTTTCCAAGGCCAATCTTACAACTATGCTCTTGATCACATTGCTTTGCAGCTCCTCTGACTCTTCATCACGTTCATCCTGCTCAGTGCCATCAAGTCATCTTACTAAAACATCTTTTTGGATTGTGTCATCTTCCTACTGGAACACCTCCAGTGGCCATCCATTGACCACTCAACGAATTCTGTCTTTGGGCATTCAGTGTCTTACATAGTTTGGCACTAATCCAGCTGTATTTTCCAGAACTGTACTAGAAAACTTTTTCTCCTACTGCTGTGCATCTGGGCTGTTCAGTTTTCTCTAACACACTGCATATTTTGTTTGTACATTACTTATGACATGACTCTGCCTCATTTCTATTTCTTGAACCGTTTTCAGGACTTAGATGGCCTCTTCTTGCATTATGCTTTTCCTGATTATCATAGGCAAAAGTGATCCCTTCTTCCTCTTCACCATTACAGCTCTTATGTTGTACTAGTTGTGTCATTTATTCAACAATCACTATTGATTGTGAGCCTGCTATGTGCTTGACACTGTTCTAAATGTGAGATAATCAGTGAATAAGGCAGACAAGATTCTTGCTGTTGTGGAGGTAACGTTGTAGCTGGGAGAGATATACAATAAATAATGAGGAAAATTATTAGATAGAAATACTATGCAGAAAATTAAATAGGGTTTTGTGAAAGAGAGTGACTTGCTGGTTCCCTTAGATTATTGGTCAGGGAAGACCTCTCTGAGGATGTGATTGGGGAAGGACCGATTTAATCATCAGGAACAGTTAACACAAAGGAACTGAAGAAGACCAGTGTAGCTGGAGTGTAGTGGGTGATGGGAACGAGTACAAGATAAATTTGGGGAACAAAGTCCAGAATCTTAGAAGTCTTTGGAAGCCAAGGTAAGTAATTTGGATTTTATTATAAATGTAATTAGAGAGTTTTAAACACAGTTATGATATGATTTAGTTTACCTTTTAAATCATCATTCTGGCTGCTAAGTGGAGAATGGACTATAGTGGACTAGTGCTAGAAGCAGAGGTTAGAGGCCTTCACAATATTTCAGAAATTCTGGAAGTACTAAAGTAGAGTGATGAAAGCACAGCAGGAGTAATCTGAGAGCCAGACTGATGCTTCAAGTTGATGTAGTTTTTAGTGATGAGAAAATCAAACTATGACCAAGGTGAAGTGGAAGCGGGTTGAGGTTGAGATTGAGGAACTGAGGGAGCACAGTGTTAAATGGATGATCCATATGGATGGTCATGGAAGTCATGCTGAATAGGAAAGCAGTGAACCAGGTGTTAAAATCATCAGTGAATGAAGAAGAGTCATCCAGGGACCAGAGAAAGAATGACAGCAGATGGTAGGGCCTGACGGCATGAACTTCAAAGGAACTGAGATTTTGGGAGGTAGAGAAGGAAGAAATGGTTTGGAAGGAGCAGTGGCAGATATAGAAAATATTTGCAACCTCCAGGTCCTAAGTTTGGTGGGTGTGAAAGGAAAAATAGCCTTTGCTTGAGAGGACTACAGAAGAGGCAGCCTGGGGAAATAGCCAGATTTCAATTAGGGCAAGAAACTGAGGAGACTGTAAGGGAAATTAAGGAATGAAGGAAAACAATATATCCTTATATATTCTTTAGGACAGTAGGATATGGAAAATTTGCTGTGATTTCTACATGGTATAATAGAAAGGATAGAGGTGAGTTTGCTAAATTGGTTCAGATTGGTAGAATACAGTGTAGAAATGGGATGAAGGTCCAGATGATAATAACCTGCAGAGTGTGGTTAACACAAAGAACTGAGTAGTATGGGGCCCCTGGTCATTTTATCTTTCCTGTAGCTTTGTCTGGTCTGGTAGCCATGGGTTATGCAAAGAGTGAGTGAAAGCTTCCTCAGAGGATTATTCTCTTGTCTACTGCTTCACCAAGATCTGTAAGGGTTTCTTCTCTCTGATGCCAGTGATATGATTGGAATTTTCCTTTGGGTCAACCTCAAAAGTTTGTATCTGTGAAAGTTTGTAACTGGGCTTTCAAGGAGGCTGAAGGTCCAAGATTAACTTAAGCCCACCTTGAAGCATATTTGTATTACAAGTTGGTATTTAGAACTTCGTTTATATATCAGTTTGGACTATTTCTTCCTGTCTTCTCCTCATCCCTTCTCCCATCCCTAACCCCTAACATATAAAAATCTAGCCACAAATTCTCTGGAATTAGCTGGGAATTTTTAAGTTTCAGAAGTGGTGTTTAGACAAATCCTTGTAAACAGTCCTGTGTTCTAGTCTCTTCTTTGTGGGCCTACAAATGGTATTTTTAATGTAAACTTGAAACATTTTAATCCTGCATAAATAGATGGGAGCCTCAGGTGGGTAGAGTCAAGTTGCAAATCACCAGTTATACCAGAAAAAAATTCGGCTGTTAATTCATCTTGGTATAGGATAGTCAAAATACACATGATATATTAAATTATTAATGTCTTTTAAGGGTCTCAGAATTGATGGGGAGGAAGAGAATTAAATAAATCCTGCAAATTTGTTTCTTTTTTGTTATCCACAACTTTTCTGTCTGGTAACTGACCACCTCTCTGTTTCTTTTGTAGGCGCTGTTATTTAAGAATGGAAGAGGATATAGATTTTAGAATCAGGTTTAGTTCTTTGTGTTTCATTACTGATCATGTTGGCTTTCGTGGCGCTATAAAAAGCTCACCAAGTGACTTCGTTGTTATCGAGATTGATGAACAAGGACAGTTAGTTAATAAGGCCACTGACGAACCTGTTTACAAGATTAGTAAAGTACCACCTGAGTCAAATAATTTTGCCAAAAAAGCAAAACTAGATCTTCAAAATTTATCCTTTGAAGAGGGAAGCAATCAAGAAGTTGATACTTTAGCTGGGTGCTCCGATGATGACCAGAATCATCAGTCTAGTTCAGAAAAGGAAGATACTATCAAGGATGGAGCTTCCAAAGATGAAGAAGAAAAAGTTGATGTAATAAGCTCCTTGTTAGATGAAAAAACTAATGAATTACTGAATCAGTTTGCCTGTGATACAAAAGAGAAGTGGAATTCTAAAACTGAGCTAATTGGACCGTCTCCTGAATTCTCATTAGGCAGAATCCTTGACAAAAACCAGAGGGCTATTTTGCATAGTGCTATTAGGCAGAAGTTTCCTTTCTTAATAACTGTAGGAAAAAACAGTGAAATTGTTGTAAAACCAAATCTTGAATATGAAGAACTCTGTCACTTGGTATCCGAAGAAGAAGCATTTGGCTTTTTTAAATATTTGGATGCAAAGAAAGAAAATTCCAAATTTACCTTTAAACCTGATACAAACAAAGACCACAGAAAAGCTGTCCACCATTTTGTCAACAAAAAGTTTGGAAACCTTGTGGAAACCAAATCTTTTCCTGAACTGAATTACAATGCTGGTAATCCAAATGTAGTGATAACAGTAAGGTTTCGGGAAAAAGCACACAAATACAGGAAGAGGTCTCTTCTTGAATGCCAGGAAAGAAAAGTTAAACATACAGGTAATTTAATAAATCATTACCATTTTGTTGGGTAAACTTAGTTAAAATTTTGTGATAGCTGAATAATTTCAAATGAATTAAATAGACTTGGCCACAGGGATATTGGAAAAAAATATATGGGTCTGTTTTTTAATGGAAGATAGAGCTTTTCGAATTACACTCGTAAAAATTAACCTTATTGATGAAAGTGTGGTTAACAGACATTTATGGTTAACATGGTCACAGATATATAAGGTTGAAGCAGTTATTTCATGTTTTGTAAGTTTTATTGGTGGTAAATCTTGATTTCATATTTTGAAAGTTATCTTAATTAAAATTAAGGATTTGGAGATAAGTAAAATATGTTTGCTATGCTTGGGAAAGTGAAGGGAATACCTTGTAATCTGAAACAATTGAACTTCACTACCCAAGGTAGGGAACCTGAAAACTTACAGAGAGCTCCTTCCTTTGGCTCTGGCAGTCTTTTAGAGAAGAGGTTCTCAGACTTTAGCATGCATTATAATCACCAAAAGTGCTTGTTAAAATGGATTTCTTTTTTTTTTAATTTTATTTATTTTTCCCCCAAAGCCCCAGTAGATAGTTGTATGTCATAGCTGCACTTCCTCCTAGTTGCTGTATGTGGGACACGGCCTCAGCATGGCTGGAGAAGCAGTGCGTCGGTGCGCGCCCGGGATCCGAACCTGGGCCGCCAGCAGCGGAGCGCGCGCACTTAACTGCTAAGCCACGGGGCCGGCCCTAAAATGGATTTCTGAGGCCTATTCTTAGAGTTTCTGATTTAGATGGTTTGGAGCAAGGCTATAACAAATTCCCAGGTGATGCTTTTTCTGCTGGTCTGGGGACCACATTTTGAGAATCACTGTTTTAAGGGATATATTCAGTTTCTAGGATGGGATAGAACTGATGAAATCTCACTCTCAAGTTTGGCTGACCAGGTTTAATTGGCCTATATCCTACATGAAGGAGGGAATTGTTTCAGATGGTCATGTTTAGTAAATTTATACAGCAAAGCATTTAAGATAAAACCAGCAACCCAGATTTGCACAGATGTGTGTGGCACAGAAACAGGATTGTACTATCTAGGGACTCTGTGGTATCAATGAAAAGAGTTTGGACCTTGGAGCTGTGTGGGTTTTATTTTGCATTATGACTTCAGTTCATAAAAAGATTTATGAACTTTTTAGTATCTTTAAGACTTAGTTTCCACAAATGTAAAAACGAAAGAATAATACCATGGGCAAGTTACTTAACAATTCATAACTTTTAGTTGTACTTTAAAAATGGAGTAGTAGTAAAGCCTAATTCAGAATGGTATTGTAAGGATTAGATGAAATAAGTAATGAAAATGTTTAGTATGTAATAGTTACTCAAATGTTAGTGCCTTCTCTCCTACAAATTTCTGTTTGGTTGTGTGACTTGCCTTTTCCATGAGAAAGCTGCTAGTATAGGATCTAGGCATGCAATAAATATTAACAGATGGATCTATTTTGAAAAACTAGCTTTACTTGTGGAGGGGGGAATTGCTGATAAATGATTTAAGCAGCTATAGATTTTATACTACTTGAAGTTCTAACAATATTAATTTGAGGTAATGAGCCAAAAAATTGTGGAAACTTTTTATATATTAGTTTAAATTAGTTTTACAAAAACTATGAATATTTGGAGGGATATGTTAAAGGGAGGAATTGATGGTTCCCCAGAGGATGGTATAAAGATATTGGGATACCTACAAGTCCAAGACCAAAGAAAAAGACAAAGGTAAATTTTGCCCATCCGAGATTTTGCTTAGGCCAACCTTTTTTTAGAACCAAAATAGCTCATATAAAAAAAATTTATTAATAAGTAGACATACCTAAAAAATAGAAACTTAAAAAAAACTTTTATTTTTATTTTTTATTGTAAAATATACATATAATAAACTGTATCATTCTATCCATTTTAAGTGTACAGTTCAATGGCGTTAAGTACATTTACATTGTTGTACAACCATCACCACCCATTCATCTCTAGAATTTTTCATCTTCTATACCCATCTCAAACTCTATACCAATTAAACAATAACTGCCCATTCTACCTTTCCCCAGCCCTGGCAACTGCCATTCTGCTTTCCATCTCTATGCATTTGACTACTCTAGGTTCTTCATATAGGTGAAATCTGCAGTATTTGTCCTTTTGTAATTGCCTTATTTCACTTGGCATAATGTCTTCAAGGTTCATCCATGTTGTACATGTGTTAGAATTTCCTTCCTTTTTAAGGCTGAATAATATTCCATTGTCTGTATATACTACATTTTGTTTATCCATTCATCTGTCAATGGACATGACTTGTTGCTGTCTTTTCGCTATTGTGAATAATGCTGCTGTGAACGTGGCTGTAAAAATATCTGTTCAAGTCCCTGCTTTCACTTCTTTTGGGTATCTACCCAGAAGTGGAATTGCTGGATCATAGGGTAATTCTGTGTTTAGTTTTTATTTTCCTAGAACACTTTTTTGAAGAAAGAATTCTATGAAAGATTTAAGCATCCAACAAAATTTTCATTTTAGGTATTGCGTTTCCTAGCTCTACAAGTTTCATTTGGTTCTTTCTTAGGTCTTCAATTTCTTATTATGTTCATGTTTTCCTATAATTTTTGGTCCTATCCTTAATAGGTCTTTAAAAATATTTGTCTGCTAATTCTATCTCTGTCATTTCTGGGTCTGTTTTTATTGACTGACTTTTATTTGAGTTATGGGTCACATTTTCCTGCTTCTTTGCATATCTACTAATATTTTTTGGAGGCCAAACACTGTGAATGTTACTTTGTTCAGTGTCTGAATTTTGTTGTCTTCTTTTAATGAGTGTTGAACTTTGTTTTAGCAGGTAGGAAGTAATTTGCAGATGCACTTGAAGCTCCATTTTGAGTTTTATTAAGGGAGATTTGGAGTGGGCTTTACTGTAGGGCTGTCATATTAACTTTACTATTATAGCATGATCCTTGTGTGGTTTCTACTGAATGCTCTTGCTATTTAAATAGATCTTTCTTCTCTGGCCAGTCTCCAGCCTTGTGTAATCTCTGGCAGGTTACAAATGCCTAGTATTTCATTGTCCAGCCTGGTAGAGTGTGGTAACCAGCATCCAGATGGCCCCCAATCATGCTTAACTCCTGATATTCATGTCCTGGTGTAGTCCCCACCTACACTGAATCAGGGCCAGCCTGTTTGACCAACAGAATATTTCAGAAGTGACAGTGAATTACTTCTGAGTGTAGGTCATAAATGGTATTTCATATTACTCACTCTGACAGAGCAAACCATCACACCTTGAAAACACCTGAGAAGCCCTGTGGAGAGAAACTGAATCCTGCCTCCCACCAGTAGCCAGCACCTTATGACCGATGTGAGTGATCCACCTTAGAAGGAGATCCTCCAGCTTCAGCTGATGTTCACCTGCAACTTCACAGTAGACCTCAAGCCAGAACTATCTAACTCCTGAATTCCTGACCCACAAAAGCTGTGTAGGGTAGTGTATTAGGGTGCCCTGGCTACCATAACAAAATACCATAGACTGGGTGACTTAAACAACAGATATTTGTTTTCTCACAGTTCTGGAGACTGGAAGTACAAGATGAAGGTGCCAGCAGGGTTGGTGTCTGGTGAGGGCTCTCCCCTTGGGTTGCAGACAGCCACCTTCTTGCTGGATGCTCACATGACCTCTTCTTTGTATGCTCACGGAGAGAGAGATTGAGAGAGAGAGCTCTCTGGTATCTTTTATGAGGACACTAATCTTAGTGAATCAGAGCCCCACTCTTATGACCTCATGTAACCTTAATTGCTTCCTTAATAGGCCCCATCTCCAAATATAGCCACACTGGGGTTAGTGCTTTAATATGTGAATTTGGGGGGGGATAGAGACATTCAGTCCCTAACAGATGGTAAATGATTATTGTTGTTTTATGTCACTGGGATTTGAGGTGACTAATTGTGCAGCATTAGATAACTAATACAGATTTTGGTACCAGAAATGGGTTGCTGCTGTAACAAAAACCTAAAACCTGTGGTAGCAATGCCTTTGGGACCTGTTGGCAGGCAGAAGTTTGAAGGTACTTCAAGGAAGCTGTCAATGAAAGTTTAAAGGAAAGTAAGAAAAATATAGTTAGAACCTGGAAGGAAGGGATCTTTGTTGTGTAGTGGCAGAAAGTTTGGCAATACTGTTACTTGTAGTAAAATGGAAAATAGAAAATGTATCTAAAGAAGGGGTACTCTAACTAAAGAGATTTTCAGGCAAAGAGTTGAAAGTGCATGCCACTTGGGTAGTTTTTAGCGCTCATAGTACAATTCTGAAGGAAAAACTGTTAGATATAAAGAAGCCAGGACTTGCTGGGTTCAACAATAATTTAAAAAAATAAATAAATTCTCAGCCTCTCCAGATGGCACATGATGTTTAAATTAAGAAATGTCTTCCAGGCAAAGAGAAAATCATGGCAGGTCAGGACAGCACGTTCTAACAAGGAAATCTAGGATGTGATTGTAAAATCCTTTGTTAAAATTTTAGAAGGATGTAAACCAGTGTCTCAAAGAATGATTCAGACAAACAAAAGGCCTTATAGGGACTTTAAGGGCATGACTCAAGGATCCCCTATGTTCAACAGTAATTCTTCTAGGAATTTAGGGGCATTTTCCATCAGCAGTTTCAGCAGATGCCCTAAGCAGAAAAGATCTTATCTTGACAAAAGTTGAGTGTATCTTTGTCTAATGGAATGACCCGAAGAAGACCCACACAGTGTTTGAAAGGGTCAAAGACTACAAAATAAAAAGAGGCATTTGGATTCCCAAACTTTAAAAGCAGGAGTTAGGCTGAGAAAACTACTCTGCTGTACACAGGCTATCTTTTACAGAAAAGTGGGGTTCACTCAGAGGACAGAACCAAGACACAGAGGTGGGCCCTAGAGCCACAGCAGTTATTTCCAGATTTTGGTAAGGCTGAATTCTAATAAAGAAATAACCAACATATTCCTGGCTGGATTCAGAATTGCTACGTACCATTACCTTCTGGGTATTTCCACTTTTCCCCCAGTTTGAACAGTCTATAGTGCCTGTCCTATGTGTGTCTCAACATTGTCAAGTGTGTGAAAAGCAGATTTGTCTCTTTGTGTCACAGTCCTTCATAGTCTTCATATCAAGTGAAATTATATTTGAGGATTCTAATTCAAGAAAATGTACCCAGGGAGGCTTATCTACATCTGGACCTGATTTAGAGGAAAACATGCTAGAATTTGAGCTGATGCTTTAATAGAATGAGTCTTTGGGGCCTTGGGAAGAAATGAGTATATTTTGAATGGAGGTAGGACATAAAGTATTAAAGCCAGGAGATGGATTGTGGTTCCTCACATCCAAGAAGACGCTCAGTGATCTTCTCCTGGTTGTCAGACAGAGTGGCCTCTGTGACCAACAGAATATGACAGAAATGATGGTGTGTGACTTCTAAGGCTAGATCGTAATAAGTATTTTACTTTTTGCCCATGTTTCTTGGATTGCTCACTCTGGGGTAAGCCAGCTACCACACTGTGAGGATACTCAAGCAGCCCTTTGGAGAACTACTGAAGCCTCCCACCTATAGCGAGTCCCAACTGGCCAGCCATGTGAGTGAGCCCCTTTGGAAATGGGTCCTCCAGTTCCTGTCAGGCTTTTGGATAACTGCAGCCCCAGCCACATCTAACTGCAACCTCATGAGAGAGCCTGAGCTCGACTCACTAAACCAAGGTGCTCTTGAATTCCTGACCCACGGAAACTATGAGAGAGAAGTGAACCTTGTAAGCCACTAAGGTTTAGGGTGACTTGTCACACAACATTAGATAAATAATACATAGCATTTAATCCTAGGCATGTGCAGCTCAATAATCAGCAACAAACTCAAGGGATCACCTATGGGGATTTCTGGAACTCTCTCTGCATAGCTTCCTCTTATCAGGTACTCTGCCTCATGAATTCCTGCCCCCGCAGCCTTCCTGAACTCCCACCTCTATCCTCTTAATTCGGCAAGACCACTCTGCTCCAACTGGATTCCTTCTCCTCTGTTGTGGTCTAGAAAGTACCTCGAGACAGAAAACTTCGCTATTTTAGGACTCACCTTGTTTGTTTTCCTTTTCTTTTGGATCACAGTACTGTGCTGCCTGCTCTCCAGTGTCTAAAAACAGGTGTTTCATATGTTTTGTCTTGTTTTCTGTTTGTTTACAGTGGAAGGACAAGTCTAGAATACCAATTATTCTAACATGGCTGGAAGTGGAACTCACTAAAATAGAATTTTAAAATTTAGCACAGCTGATTTTCTTTTTAAATACTTTAATCATTCCAAGTAATTAAGAAAATGTTATGAATCTCATAAATTAAACTTATAAATTTGGTGACTTTTAGTTTTCCTATATGTTCCATATTGTTTACTAATTTAATGAGATTTCAATGTAAAAAGACAAATTTAAATCAATTAGACATTTTTAATTGGAATTAAAGTCCCATTCTCTTAAACATTCCAAGTTTACTAAAGTCATAGATTTGATTCTCTTAAATATTTCCATTCTAAATTCAAAATCTTCATGGATAAAAAATATTTATGCACTAAGGTTAATCAGCAACAAACTGATAGAATCTCAAACAGTTTGGAGGTCCTTCTTACGTGGCTGAGCTTGTGTAATGACCGGTGACACACCCAGATTGTCAGGGACAGATCTGACACATCGAACCCTAGTTATCAAACACATGAACTTGAAAACTAAGGACTGGTCTCAGCCTTTGCATTGTACACTTTTCTGGTCTACTTTTCAAAGTTTGCAACTTCTAGCCATGCTACTGCAACACTTGATTGAATTTTGCATTTTCTTTTACTCTTAAATTATTTTAATGATTTCTGTCTAGTTCCATAGATTTGGCATACTTGAAGGACTACTATATTGTTCACATTATTCCTAATTGGTTCTTAAACTTTTTGGTTCCAGGACCCTTGAAGAGTGTAGCTCTTATAAATTATTATGGACCCCAAACAGCTTTTGTTTATGTGGTTATTATCTATTGATATCCGACATTAGCAATTAAAACAAATTTTAAGACTATGAGTTCATTTAAAATAAATCTATTATTATTAACATAACATTTTTTATTGAAAAATAACCATATTTTTCCACTAAAAGTTCATGAGAAGGATGGCATTGTTATCCAGTTCTACAAATCTTTCTAATATCTGACAATAGAAGTCAGCTGGATTCTCATATCTGTTCTGGATTCTCATATCTGTTCCTGTATTCAATGTGTTGTAATTTCTTGTCTTGATTGAAGCAAATGAACAAAATTCAGCCTCACAGAGGTATATAGTACAAGAGGGAGAACATTATGGACCCCCTAAAATGATAGGATTCCACAAGTCTTACACATATTAAAAAAATTTGGTATTTTGATATTTTTTATTGCTTTGACTGTTTGCCATACTTATATTCATTCTTCAAGCCCCCACAGCAGCAGCACTTCTTCCTCAAATTCTTTTCAGGCTCCCAAGAGTGAATGCTGCCAAAGCAGGGATCCATTATATCCTCAGCCTAGCACATCTTCCAGAATTATTTTATTTAAACTCTTTGATTAATCCTATCATGACAATAGCTGAAATATTTTGAGATTAGAATTTCTCTACATTTTAAATGTGGGCCTTTAATTTCATTTTATCTGAAACAACTGATATAAACAGTTGCCTTGGAACCAGAGGTTTATATTCAAATCCATTTGGTCAAGGTCCCCTGAAACTATAAAGGACAGGTTGTGATTTATTAGCCCTGCCCTCTAACCAACTGAGCTAACCGGCCACCAGCTCAGGTTGTGATTTAGCACACACAATTAACTCGTATGATTCTTTACTTTTCTCTACTTCTTTTATCAGTTTTTTTAAGAATAACAGAGTCATAATACACTTAATTTATGACTGCTGTAACAGAAAATTTGGAGAATTCTAGGCAGTTGTTATGACAGTACAAAAAATAATGACCCTAGTTGTAAAAACTTTTAGAAAATAATGGACAGTGCTTGAGTATTCTTCAGAAATCATAGTTGTTTATACTTTAACAATTCTTAAACATGTAATTAAAAATAAAATATATTTTTCTTGTGCAAATTAGAACACTGAAAATATGTAACATTGCATTGCAGGTTTTTAAAACTTTCACATAAATGACATAGACTGCATATTTTTGAAACTTGCTATTTTTATGTTTTTAGAGATGATTTATATAGAAATATAAAGAACATATAGATCATCCCCATTCTTTTAAACAATTATGTGATATTCTAAAGTATGGATATTACAAGCTCTTGTGTACCTATTTCATATATTCATAGATAGATATACTTCACATCCTTCTACTTGCTGGGTCATGTTTATGATTAATATTAAATTTTTCTTAGGGCACCCTTCAGAGAGGCCCTTGTAGCTGCTGATGACAGTTACAGCAGTTGAACAAAATGTAAACTATTCTATGGAAAAAAAATTGAATTTCCTTTTCATGATTTAAGGGGAGAGGGCAGTACTTCAAAGTATCTTATATGTAAATATGGTGAACTGAGGATTGCAGTATGTTGTTAATATTGGCAAGTTATATAGGCCAACATGTTGGGGTTTTTTTTTTGTTTTTGTTTTTGTTGTAGTTGTTCCTCCTACCCCCCGCAATCTCACTCTCACCTTCTCATCTAGTAGACATTTTAAGCACCTACCATGAAGCAAGTACCATTTTATTTACTGGCTTACTGGCCTGGAACTCCCAGTCAATGGGCTGGACAAACATAAAGGGATAAACTTATAATACATGGTATTAGGTCATGATATAGATAATGATAACTTGTGGAGACATGCAGGATCAAGTAATCGACTTCTTATGGAGTTCAATTACTTATTCATTCAATCAACAAATATTTACTATGTGTTAGGCTGAGGACATAATGGTCAATAAAACAAATGTGACCCCTGCTTTGGGAGCATTCAGCCTTGGGAAACTGGAAAGAATTTGAGGGAGAACTGCTGATCCAACTGCTGTTGCATCATGAAGAATGAATAGAAGTATGGCAATTAATCGATGGAGGGAACGCATATTTTAGACAGAGGAACTCAAATGTGCAAAAGTACAAAGCTGTAGAAGGCTCTATCTGTCCAAGGATTATGAGAAGTTCTCCGTGTCAGGATTATAGGATATATGAAAGGAAGTGGCACATGAGACTGGTAAGGAAGATTGGGGCCAGATATGAATGCCAAATTAAGGAATTTGGGGTTTTTTTTTTCTGTAAGACTTTATCGAGCCAACTATCATTTTTATTTATTTTTTTTTGTGAGAAAGATCAGCCCTGTGCTAACATCTGCCGATCCTCCTCTTTTTTTGCTGAGGAAGACTGGCCCTGCGCTAACATCCGTGCCTCATCTTCCTCCATTTTATATGGGATGCCGCCACAGCATGGCTTGCCAAGCGGTGCATCAATGCGCCCCCGGGATCCGAACTGGCGAACCCCGGGCTGCCACAGTGGACCGCGCACGCTTAACCGCTTGTGCCACCGGGCCGGCCCCCCCAGCTAGCGTTTTCAAAATGACAGCTGAAATCTGACACTGATTTTCAATCTCGATTCAAAAATACTCTTTATTTAAATTAATGATTTGATTCATTATGTTAATCTGTTAGTCTGCTAAGAATGTAATTGATGTACCTGATTTTTTGTAATCTAGGATTATTTTTGTTTCAGCCTTTACCCTACGAAAAGAAAATCTGGAAATGTTTGAAGCAGTTGGTTTTTTAGCTATCAAACTTGGTGTGATTCCTTCGGATTTTAGTTATGCAGGACTTAAAGACAAGAAAGCCATCACCTATCAAGCAATGGTTGTTAGAAAAGTGACTCCAGAAAGGTAATAAGACATTGCTCTACAAGAGAGAACTTTACTTTCTTAGTGCATCAAATAAATAGATGTAAGACTAAAAACTCAGAATAATACTGGGAGTATATTAACCTCACTATCAGTATTAATTAATTGTTTATGGGCTTACTGAATAGCATATGCTGCATTAATAATATAATTATCTTCTAAATAGAGTTATGTCTTAAATGTACATTGAAAATGTAGGTAGTTTTAGGATAGAAACTTTGAGAAGTAGCAAATTTTAAATGAGATAAATTGTTTCAAAACGTCCTGTTTTATATTCAAATAAGCACTCGTATTCAGGACTATATCTTACAAATATTTTTTTTCTAATTACTATAATACTTTTATCATGGTTCCTTACATTTAAGAATAAATCCTTGTTAATTAGGATGTAAAACACTCAAATTTAGCCTCCTTTCAACTTAATCACATTTTAAAAATATCTTTTGTAGTTGTGAAAGAAATACATATTCATTGTAGATTTAGAAAAAAATATAAAAAAGAGATTAAAAGTCACTGATAATTTCATTACTCAGAAACAACCACAATAATCTATTGATCTATTTCTTTCTAGACTTTTTTCAGACACTATACTATATACACACATTACACAGACACTTTGTATATATATATGAAAATCATACTATATGTGCAATTTATATTTTACTCATAAAAATAAAATATTGTTTTATGAAAATTTGTCATGAAATATTTCAAAATCATGTCCATTATGTAGACTGATTTGCTTAACATTCCCCTAGTTTTGTATATAGAAATAAATTCATTCCAATATTTCACTGTAAATAATACTGTGATTAATATTATTATACTTAAATCTCTGACTTATGGATACTTTCCTTAAGATAAACTTCAAAAAGTTGAATTATTGGACCAAAATTCATCCTAATTTGATGTAATATTGATATATTAATCCTTGGCCATCAGATGTTTAAATATCCACTATTTGCAAGTAGATGTTTCTAAGCTCTTAGAGACAAAAAAAATGTATATGATTTTATCTTTGTGGTCAAGAAGTGCAATATAGGTTAGAGAGAAGGACTTTAGATGTTAAAAAGTATTTAGCACCTGTTAAACTGTTAAAAGCTAGTTTCTAACTGACAAAGACAAAAAATATTATTAGTTCCTAGGAGATAGTACTTTAATTTGGCTTATGGGTATAGGATTTTAATTACCCTTCAAGTAAATAGTAAGATTTTAACAGATGCAGAAAATCTGAAGATATTTTTGGAGAGGCAGTAAGCTAAACAATCTGTCTAATAAAATTCCTAAAAGGACTACAGAAATAGGAATGTAAAGAAAAATTTACATCATTTCTTACAGGATATTACAAGTTAGGCTAAGATAATTGGCATCTATTATTTAGATGTTGGAGAAGAACTGAAAATTTGAGTAAGGAAGTGTTCAGAGTAGAATTGTAGGAGAATCTTCTGGTGCTAGCGGTTTTTCTTGGTAATCCTGGGAAAAGAGAGACTGAAGAGGAAAGGAGCAAAGTCTAAGGAGAGGAAGAACAGAAGAGTTAAGAGGAGTTGAGCTAAGGAGAAGTCAGAAGGCCTGTATAGTCAGAGTGATAGCATTAGGAATCTCTGTTCAAGTTCTTAAAGTAACTCTTAATATAATCCTATCTTAATGGGCTTTTAGTGCACATTTGTTGAAATAACATTAACTTTGGAATATTCCCCCCAAATTTTGTTTTAGTATTCTGATATAAGTGGTTGCCTGGCAACTGTCATTTAAACCTTATACTACTTTTTAAAATTTGAGATTTAACTGAGTCTATATGATTTATCATTTATAGGTTGAAAAATATTGAAAAAGAAATTGAAAAGAAAAGAATGAATGTGTTTAATATTCGGTCTGTAGAGGATTCCCTTAGACTCGGTCAGCTCAAAGGAAATCATTTTGATATTGTCATCAGAAATTTAAAAAACCAAACAAATGATTCCACAAACCTGAAAAAGAGAATTTTGGAGGCAATAGAAAATGTTAAGGTAAGCAAACTCAATTTTTTTTTTTTTTTTTTTTTTTAACAGAGTCACAAGATTTATTATGTACAGATCACAGAAGCAGGGGTGAGGGTGCAGTGAGCCGGGGGAAGGGCAGTCCTCTGTGCCAGGTCATCAGCCAGCAGGGCAAACTCAATTTTTAAAATAAAGTACTGTAGGAAAATTGTTATAGTCCCTCTCTTTACATTGAGGCAAGAAGGGAAACTTTTCTTTTGTACCTTTTCTTTTTATGTGCATGTATAATTATTTTTTAAAATAATACTTAGGACCATTTGGCCTATTTTTTATTTTCTTAGTACATTTTTATATTAAAAAAAATTTTTTTAAAGTAATTAAAAAAATACAATGTGTAGAGTTCCCCAGAGAGGGGAAAATAAACTATCTGCATCAGAAGAGAGATTTTTTTAGCATCCACCATATAGAGTAGTATTTTAGGCAAAGGGATTTATTTCTTTGGAAATTTTCTTCAGTATGTAATTCTCAGAAATCTTTGGTAAATAGTTACATTTCTTTTCAGAATTATACACAATCTTTTTTCTTTTCAATCTAGTTTTGAATTTTTTCAGTGTATACAAATGATAAATCATACACGTTATTATATCTTACAGTAAAAATTATTTAATGGAAGTTTTTAAATGATGTTTGCCAGCCATCTAAATTTGCACATAACAACCATAGCCTTCGTCTGATCATCTAGACTATGGGTCCGCAAACTTTTTTCTATAAAGGGCCAGAAAATAAATATTTTTGGCTTTGTAGGCATATCGTCTCTGTTGCAACTACTCCACTGCTATTGTGTGGAAGCAGCCATAGACAATACATAAATGAATGAGCATGGCCCTGTTCCAATAAAACTTTATTTACAACAACAGTTGTTGGGCCAGATTTGACTTGTGGGCCATTTGTAGTTTGCCAACCTCTGATCTAGACCAGTAATTCTCAACCTGGGGTGCTTTTAAAGAGTCTCAGCAGTGAATCTCTACTCCCAAACCAATTAAATAAGAACTTTGGGGGGTGCAGCTTAGGCATTAGTATTTTTCAAAACCTCCGTAAGTGATTCTACTCTACAGCTAACATTGAGAAACACTGATCTAAGTTTCTGACCACAAAGACCTTTTTACACAATTTTATGCCTCTCCAGCAGGAAAGCAAACAAACAAAAACTGGTTTTTGTTTGAAACATCTTTCAACTAAAGATTGTTTAAATTACTCACATTTACCTGTGTATAGGCATTCTCTGATACCCTTTTTATGGTTGTTTTGTCCTTTTTTTTTCTAGACCTATTTAAATTTCTTTTTTTTCTTCCTTGAAAAACTGTTATTAAAAAGATATCTCTGGGGCCGGCCCGGTGGCGTAGTGGTTAAGTTCACCCACTCTGCTTCAGCGGCCTGGGGTTTACAGGTTCGGATCCTGGGCGCAGACCTGCGCACTGCTTATTAAGCTGTGCTGTGGCACATGTCCCACATATAAAGTAGAGGAAGATGGGCACGGATGTTAGCCCAGGGCCAATATTCCTCAGCAAAAAGAGGAGGATTGGCAGCAGATGTTAGCTCAGGGCTAATCTTCCTCACCGAAAAAAAAAAAAAAGGTATCCCTTAAAAAAGGGAGAGGGTTTTCTGAATTCTGATTGTATTTATTGTCTTTTATTTGGTACTTATGGCTATAGAACTTCCCATTATAAAATTCCCATTAGGAATACTCTAGCTTTAGTTCTTATGATAAGGAAAGAGAGTTGAGAAGCCCTCAGAATAAGAAGTCTTTGAAGTTTTGTTTTAGAGGGTTATAGCTCTGATTGCTGTAAACCTTTTGTTATCTCCAACTCTAAGTAATTTGAAGGGGTACTTAAAACTCTTCTGGTTAGTATAGTATACTAGCTGATGTTATTTTTCCCAATTTGAAATAATTAAAAGTATTTAACTATGAGATTTAATCTAGGGAGCACTTGTTCTCTCTGCAGTTGATTTTTGTGCATGGCCTGAGGTCAAGATGCAGTCCTTTTGCGCCATGCGGATAACAAATTGTCTAGCATCCTTTATGGAACAGTCTTGGAGTTGGTGCTCAATAATCATCATTGAAGGAAGAAATGTATACTCCTCTCATAAAGGAAGTGTAGAAGACTCATTTATCTTCCAAGAAACCGTCTGGGCCTGGTGTCGTCTTTGTGAGAACATGTCTAAACACTGACCAGTGTCTTTAATGGTTGCGGTAGTCAATTACAAGTTTCTGTTCCTGCTGAAGTGATGCCCTGCCATTGTCTTGGCCCCGGCTTTCAGAAACTGAGATAACAGAAAGACAAACTGTTCTGTATAAAGGAGCCACGACTTGCTGGGTTTGAAAATAAATCTGTTTCTTATTCCCAGAGTCTCAAAGTCAGCAAGAGTTTCAGGGCAAAGATCAGATCCAGTACTAAGTGACCAGTTCATCTCAGTTTCCTAGAACTTTCCTGGTTTTAGCACTGAAAGTCCCACGTCCCAGAAAATGCCTCAGTGATGTGAGTGAAAAGCCGACATATTTTTAAAGCTTTTTCACTCATCTTACTTTCTAACTTTTAATCATTTGTTCTTCTCCTTTCTATTCTTTAGCTGTATAGCATTTCTGAGACCATTTGGTCCACATGTGTGTATTGCCAATTACGGGACTCGCTTATTAAAAGAAATATGAAGAGAGAGACTTGATTACATATTCTGACACAATAATTGTATTTATTTGTTTTAGTTCGTGGCTATAACAAAGAACCATACACTAGGTGCGTTTTAAACAACAGAAAATTATTTCTCATACTTCTGGAGGCTTGAAGCCTAAGATCAGGGTGCCAACATGGTCGTCGTCTTGTGTTCTCACACGGCAGAAAGAGAGTGAGTTAGCTCCCTGGTCTTTTCTTATAAGGGTGCTAATCCTATTCGTGAGGGCACTACCCTCATGACCTAATTACCTCCCCAAATCCCCACCTCCAGTACCATCACACTGGAGGTTAGGAGTTCAACATACGAGTTTTGCGAGGACACAGGCATGTAGTCCATAAAAATATACTTTTTTTTTTTTCTTTCTTCCCTTTTTCTCCCCAAAGCCCCAGTAGATAGTTGTATGTCATAGTTGCACATCCTTCTAGTTGCTGTATGTGGGATGCTGCCTCAGCATGGCCGGACAAGCGGTGTGTTGTTGTGCGCCCAGGATCCGAACCCGGGCCGCCAGTAGCGGAAGCGTGCTCACTTAACCACTAAGCCACGGGGCCGGCCCCAATATACTTTTAATTAATTGATTTTTTGTATTTATAGAATAAAGGGTTTGTGAATTACTATGGACCACAGAGATTTGGGATGGGAAGGAAAGTTCACACAGACCAAATTGGATTGGCTTTGCTGAAGAGTGAGATGGTATGGATTTTTTAAAAATATAATCTTATCTGTTTTGTCAGTTGTACTAACTACATGGGCCAGCTCCTTGCTTTCTTAACCCAGCATATAAATGCATGTCTACAAACACATACATATACCATGTACTACATCATTGAACATTTATTGAGCAGCTACTACATTCTTGGTATCACATTATAAGAAAGCAAACTGTATGCAATGTCCCTGTGTTTAATACTTTAATAGGAAGGGTGAGACTTAACAGAGAATTGACCAATACTCACCAAATTCTTAGCAAACTGAATAGAGGATTTAAGGATTCCAGAATCCTGGTATCAGATTCCATTCCAGAAATCTGGTATCGGATCATATAAAAGATAGGAATTCACCCAGAGCCAGAGACTAAAAGGGGAACAGCAAATTTGAGAAAAAGTCTAACTAGTTTCAAATAAAACGAAAAATTCCAGTCACAAATAAGCTGTATTTGCTGAATTATTAAAATTATATATAATTTAAAAATGTATATTTATATATATAATTACATATTATATATATGCACATATATTTTTGCACTTGATGGAGTACACATAATAGAGAAAAACTGCAAAACTATGAAAATTATATATTTGAGCAAATGTAAGATTATTCATATAATAGTGTCATGCTCACTCATTTGTGTTCTAATATGTTTTCTTGAGTAAAAGAGAAAGACAGTAAAAGCACTTATGAGAAGCATGTGAGCATCATCTTACACATAGAAACAAAGTTGAGAGCTGCTGATGTAGACCATATCTGCAAATTTGTAGTCAGTTCTGGGCTTAACATTTCAAGAGGGATTTTAGCAAATGGAATATAGCTGACATGATTAAGGGTCTAGAAACCATCTTGAGGTGAAATGGTTAACTGAACAGTATTTCTTCACTCTAGAAAACTCTGAAAAGGAAATTAACTTATAAAATATTTAAAATTTTTTCATATGGACAAAGAATTTAGCAGTTTGAGGTCTGCAGAATGCAGCGTGTGTTCTACTTGAGTTCCATTTGTCAGATATGTCATGTAACCTATAGGGCAGGGTACTTAACTTTGCCAAGCCTCGGTTTCCTTATCTGTAAAACGGAGATAACATGTATTTTACAAGATTTTTGTGAGAATTAAATGAAATAACTTTCATGAAAGCACCTAGTGTAGTATCAGGCCCACAGTGGATAAGGGTTCAAAACTATGATTAGATTGTTAATTCTCTTGTTTTACAAGGGTAGATATTCAAGGGGCCAAGTTTTAGCCTAGTGTAAGAAAGATTTTTTTAACAATTGTCCAAAGGAATGGGATTCTTTCCCCCCCAACCCCCAAGAACTGGAAATTCCTTATTTCTCATAGCATTTAAACAAAAGCTGGATGGCTGCCCTCTCACCTCTTTCAACTTTGTATTCCATGCTCCCAAATTCTTTTTTTTAACTTTGCTAGAGAATTAGTTATCAGTTCTTGCTGTGGAACAAATTACCCCAAAACTTGGTGGCTTAAACCAACAAGCATTTATTATCTCACTGTTTCTGAGGGTCAGGAATCTGGGAGCAGCTTTAGCTGGTGTTTGCACATCAGGGTCTCTCATGCATTTGTGGTCACCCTGTCAGCCAGGGCTGTAGTCTTTGAAGACTTAACTGGGCATAGAGAACCTGCTCCCAAGCTCATTCTCATGGTTGCTGGCAGGAAGCTTTAGTTTCTTGCCATGGGGATACTTGTGGCATGACTTCCCCTGGAGAGGAGTCCAAGAGCACAAAAGAGTGAAAGACCACAACAGAAATGGCAGTGTCTTTTATAACCTAATCTTGGAAGTGACATACCTTCACTTCTGCTGTATTCTACTGGTCACACAAACTGATAAGTGTGGGAGAGGACTGCACCAGGCATATGTACCAGGTGGTAGAGATCATTGGGGGTCTTAGATACTGGCTTCCACAGCTAGAAACGCATATTTTTTGTCCTTTGCTTGAAGCACCCCCTCCCCAACCTTTGCAATCTTTATGTCTCAATTTAAATTCTCATCCCACTCCTCAAGTGTATTCCCCTTATTTTGTGACCCTGCAGCCCCCTGGATTTCCCATTTTTGGTTTTATTATATTTTATTCTTATTGCTTATTTAATCTTTTCTAGTAAACAGAGACCATGTCTCCCTTGCTCAACACTGTATCCTGAGTACACTACACAGTGCCTAGCACATGGCAGATGCTTAATAATATTTGTTTGAATGAATTAGCTTCTTAATAAATATTTGTTTGAATGAATAAATACTGTAAAAGAAGTCTAAGTGGGGGGTTAGTTTGAGTGACCTATTTTAAGTTCCTTTCCTACTCTAAGACATGTATTTAGAAATAAATTGCAGTGTTGGACACAGTGATAAAATGTAGGAACTAGTAGATATCTTTTTTTTAAAAAAAACGAACATTTTTTAATCTTTTAGGTTTTAAAAGAAAATATTAAATTTGGCAAATTTTTTTTTTAAGATTTTGGCAGTTATTTTTAAGACCAAATAATTAGGAGACTTGAGAACATGAATGAGTTAGTGGCTTGTTATTCCCCTATGCTTGTTTCTTCCCCTATTTTTGTTGTGTACATTGGTCAAGTATGAGTTTTATGTCATTACTTCACTCTTATGTTCATATCTCCATGATAGAGGTAAAGAACGACAGAAGAATAATTATGGAAGTGATGGGGAAGCACTTTTAACAGTTCATAATATTTAAACGTATGTGGAAGGTTGCTTTGTACAGATGGTTTATTTCTAAATCTAACATTGACTGTTTAATTTTTGACAGTTTAAAAATAAAATTCCAACTTTAAATCATTTGTTAAATGCCTGTTCTTTTAAGATGCCAGAGAATTTTTTATCTTTTTTTAAAAGTAAGTAATTTGTCATTTCATTTAACATTTGTTTGCTTGCTTGGTTTTTAAAGGTGAAGGCTGTAAAATTATTTCTTACACCAGAAGATGTGGATGATCCTGTAAATAGAGCAAAGAAATATTTTCTTCAAACTGGTATTTAAAAGTTTCTTTACCCATATACAGCCATGCGGATGCACAATATAAATGTTATGTCAGCAGGAGGGCATTCATTGTGACATAAATGTGATAAGAAACAGATTGTAATATGTTGTATATTTAATCATATCATTACATGCCCTAGGCACTCCATTTTTGGCCAGATCTCCAGGACTTTTGTCTGTTCTAACACTGGCTTGGGGGTAGGGGTGAGTGGAGAGATAGTTTCTTAGTTTTTCTTGGGCTACATCATCTGAGATAGGAGTTCCCAATTCTGAACTGGTACTGATGGAAGTATAATTCGCTACAACTAGAGGAGGCTGAAAAATAAAAGTACATTTGCTATATCTGATTCTTTGTGCATTGTTTTTGGTTTAGTTGCCATTCAGCCCTGACTGCTGATTTTGAAAACTTTAGCTCAATATGATGATGTGTATGTAGAATGCTTACTAAAGAAAAGTGCTTTTGAGTGTGGGTTCTAGAGTCAATCTCCATGCATTTAACTCTCAGCTTTAGTACTTCCCAACTGGACGGGCTTGTGCTAGTGATTTAGCTTCATAGTTTTAGTTTCTGCATCTGTAAATTGAAGCTAATAATGCTACCTGAGTGTTATGAAATTTAAATAAGATAATAGATATAATGCTCTTAAAATAGTGCCTGGCACGTGCTAAATGCTGAATAAATATTAGTTCTATTTAAGTAATAATAACTGCAACCATATCATTTTAGATTCGTTCAAATATATGATCTACATATATATGGTAGTCTAGTGGTTAAGATTCGGGGCTCTCATCGTCACAGCCCGGGTTCGTTCCCAGTCAGAGAACCACACCGCTCGTCTGTTGGTTGTCATACTATGGCAGCTACATGTTGCCATGATGCTGAAAGCTATGCCAACAGTATTTCAAATACCAGCAGGGTCATCCATGGTGGGCAGATTTCAGTGGAGCTTCCAGATTAAGACAGAGTAGGAAGAAGGACCTGGCCACCCACTTCTGAAAATATTGGCCATGAAAACCCTATGAATAGCTGCGGAGCATTGTCTGATATAGTGCCAGAAGGTGAGAGGACGGTGCAAAAAGACCAGGCAGGGTTCCCCTCCGCTATACACAGACAGGGTCACTAGGGGTCAGAATTGGCTGATGACACTAACAACAAATATGTGCATAATGAATTTCACTTACATTGAATTAAAGGACATCAGTTTTCAAATATCATCATTATTTTTAATTATGTACATATTACATATGTGTAATTATTCATAGGAGAGAAATATTTTTATGCTATACCACAATCTGTAAACAGTGTGGGCATTTCAAATTGTTATGAGTAATCTAAGTAATACTAAAGAAAATTCAAAGTGACTTATTTGTTTGTATCTATTTTAGAGTCCTGAGAAGATAATTTCTTTATGGCAATGATTCTTAAACTTTAGTGTGTGTAAGAAACCTGGTGCATTTATTAAAAGGCCGACTGCAAGGCCCTACCTGAATAACCATCTTTGTGGTGGAGTCCAGTAATCTAATTTTAAAAAGCATCCCACTAGCAAGACCTAATAGTATACTTGAAGGATCCAGATATCAACTCTTTCTTATTCCAGAAATTCTATGTACATGTCCATAATAGCTCTTTAAATATCTCTAGGCTCAGAGGTTTATTTAATTTTTTTTTCCTGAAAACTCCTCTGAAGAGCTGCGAATTAGTTTATCTCCATTTTGAAGTAGGAATTACTAATGTTTTGCTTTTTGCTATTCTTTCTTAAATCAGGGAAAGTGAAGGGACCATATGATTAATGATCTTGATTAAAAAAACAAACTCTTCAAGGGTAGCTAGGTTTATAGTTGGTGCTGAGCATCATCTTCATATTCAGGTTTACAAGATAGCACAGTTCATTGCCCCTTATATCGAGAGCATAGTAAAGGTCTTGATAACTGGCCTTTAAATAAGAGTAGTTGACTAATTGATTTTCTCTTTATTTCAGAGGATGCTAAAGGCACACTTTCCTTGATGCCTGAATTCAAAGTTCGGGAGAAAGCGTTGCTGGAGTCCTTGCATCGCTTTGGCGTGACCGAGGAGGGTTGTATCCAGGCGTGGTTCTCTTTACCCCATTCTATGCGCATATTCTACGTCCATGCATATAGCAGCAAAATTTGGAATGAGGCAGTGTCTTACAGACTTGCAGCCTATGGATCAAGAGTAGTGGAGGGTGATTTGGTCTGTTTGGATGAAGATGTTGATGATGAGTGTTTCCCAAATGGTAAAGTAAGTATCATTTCATCAGAGTTTTCCAACGGGAGTTACCACACCAGGAACACCAATTTTCAGAAGTCCTTATTTTAGAAACAATTTACAACTAAATATGCATTTTATTTTTTACTTTTATTTGCTCATCTCCTGCTTCTACTCATGTGTCAGCTGGGGCTTAACACATGTCAGTAAATGGAAGAAGAATAAAAATAGTCAGTGGTATGAACTGAAAGGTGCAAAGATGGTAAACCTTCCTTTAAAGAGCACATTTTTAAAAAAAATTACACAAGTCACACACAAAATAGATTCTTTAAAAGTAAAAGCCTTAACATTACAGATGAAGCTGTCATCCCTGCCACCACTCTATTGTGATTGCCTCCCCTGCCTCCAGAAAATCAACCTCTATTTTTGGGCATGTTTCCTTCTAGACTTTTTCTATGCTTTCACATAAATATCCACAAAAAGTAGATTTTTATTCTATTAGTTAACACTGAGAAAAGAAAAGACAGGAATTAGAGGCTCCAAACTTAAAATATGAAAAGGAAAAAGAATAAGATTTTTATAGTAATAGTATATAGGGCATGTGGTGTTGCATGTGTTTCTTTTATATAAGTGCAGTTTCACAACTTGCTTTTTTCTTCTTAATGATACCTTAGAGACATTTATAATAATGAAATTGTAATATATATTATAAAAGTTGATCCTTCCAGTTCCTCCCTGTCCAACTAGTATTTTTATGGTATTTTAATCTCTGTGGATTTGAACTAAATCATGAAATTGAATTCCATAAATCATGTAAGGAAATTCATTTTATAGTATTGTAATGCAAAAAGAACAAACTATTATTCTCCAACATTATCTTAAGTCAATCTCACGAATATGTTTTAAAAATGAATGAAGAGATTTGAGTAGTGCTTTCATATACATCATCATGAAATCATTGAATTTTAGAGGAGAAAAGGATTTTAGAGACCCACTTTTCTAACTCCCATTTTATAGAAATGAAAATTGAGATCCAGATTGGAGAGGAGACAGATTGAGTGACACAGGTAGCAGAATTAAAGAGATCCAGTTCTCTGACTTCTAGCCCGAACTGGTCTCTACTAGAGAAATCATGGAGTACAGAAAAGGGGTCAGCATCTAGAGATAGAACATTGCCCAGTTTTTCAAAAATAGAGAAAAATAGACTCTGAACTGTACATAAAGGAAGCTTTATCTAAATTAATAGCAGAGCTCTAGATGTATAAATTAAGGTTTTTTTGGTTTCAAGTAATGAAAACCCATCTCAGACTAACTTAAGGAAAAGCAGACAGGAATTTGTTGGCTCTCATAACTGAAAGTCCATGACTGATTCAGGCACAGCTGTTTCCAGGGGCTTATGCAGTGTCCTAAATCATCCGTCTCATTTTCTTCCTCTTTCAGCTCTGCTTTCTTCTGTGTTAGATTCATTCTCAGTCTGGCTTATTCCTTTGGTGGCAAGATGGTTATTAGCAACTCCAAGCTTATTTCTCACAACTTCTCCAGAAAGAGGGCTTTTCTTTCCCAGCAGTTTCAACAAAAACCATGGAATTGAGTCTCAGTGGCTAGGAATGGCTTGACTTGTGTCACATGTCCCCAGACCAAGTATTGTGGACTGAAGTGTGTGATTGGCTAAGCCTGTGTTCCAGGGACTCCTTCCTGGACCTATCCCACCCAAACCACATTTGAGAACTGGGAGCTCCCTGGAAAATGAGGATGCTCCTCCCAGAAAAGAGGGAGGACAGCCAGAACCACAAATGTCTGCTTTACTGTTTCATTAAATGGATGGCCTATGAATATTTAGATAAGAGAGTGATCACTAGGAGCAAAAATCACTAAGAATGGTCATTTAACTGAAGACTCTGAAACTTGGTAAAAAGAAATCTAGCAGCATCATAGGTTTTCTTTTATCTCATGTGGATGGAAGAAGAGATAAGTCAGTGATCCCCTCTTGATAAATAATGAAAAATCGTAAGTTTTTTTAACACCTGCCAGAAAACATGTCCATTTAAATATTGCCTGGGCAACACATTATTTAGTAAGTCAGCCATTTCTAATTGAGATTTTCAGAACTCAGAGGTTACGTTGACAAGATATAGCAATAATCTCTGAAATACATGTGTCTTATAAGACTTCTTTGTTCAAAATCACATTTGCAAGGACAGTTTTGTGATCAGAATTGTATCTGTTTTTCTTTTTGGAGCTATAGGAGAAAAAAGAACATTTTCTCCTTCATATCTTGCAGGGTTTCCTTTTATTTTATTTTTTATTTAATTATTTATTTTTATTTTATTGTTTTATTGGCAACAAAAAATATCTTTATATATTTTAAGACCAATCATTTATAATTTATTAGTTAGCACTGAGAAAAGAAAAGGCAGGACTTAGAGTCTCAAAACATAAAATTTGAAAAGGAAAAAGGCAGAATAAGATTTCTAATAAGTGGTAGATAGAGCATGTAATGTGTATCTACAATTAAAAATTTTAGGAAACTAATCTGATTCCCCTTTTGATAGGATTACTAGGCTAGCAGGTGTATGTTTATTTCAAGTCACTTAGTAGATTCTCTTATAATTGTTTTGTGAACAAGATAGAGAAATATGAGTTAGACAATTAAAAAGTTAGGTGAATTCATTTTTGGGGAACAGCCATACAGCAAAAGCATGTTTGTTAATTAATTGATAGATAGCCTGGAGGAAGTTCCCTAAAGACAAAACAGAGTCTTCTGTACTTAACCATATTTGTTCAGTATTTTCATAAATTACAATATTGTAGCTATGCTTAAGAATTTGTGAAAGACAAAAAGCTGGAAGTGATGATGCAAAAGAGATTATAGTCCCATGTATTTTGGTCAGATCGCATCTGGAGTTTTATATCTATTTCTGAGTACAGCAGTTAAAATGAGTTATTTACCTGTAAACAAACAAACAAACTCCAAATGAAAAACAAAGAAAGGAGGGACATTATTGATAAGAGTGGGGATGTTGAGGGGAAAGCAAGGAGATTTAGAGGAGGTCTAGCCACTATATTATGTGCTGAATGCTGAAGGAGGATGGTAATGCTATTAATCCTCGTGGAGTGATGACAGCTGCCTTTATACTTGAGCTGGCAGGTGCAAGAGAAATAAGAATTATTTATTCTGTGATGTCCTAGAGAAACATTTCTCAAACTTAATGTGTCACACACTTCTTTTTCTTTCCGCCTACAAATGACACCTATTATTGTTCTAGGAAGCACATTTTGAGAAACACCACTTCTCGTAGAGTATTATGATACTTGTGGAGAACAGAGGTTGGGGGGGTGTGATTTCACAAAAGCAGCTTTTCGAGTCAGCATAATAAAGAACAACTTTTTAATTTAGAAAATGATTGTTGGTGGTTGAGGTGGAAGCGTCATCTTAGAACGTTAAGCTGCCCGCTGTTCTCGGTGTGTTTCAACTTCAGTTATCAGTGGTTAAAGCAAGAAGAATTGTTGTAACTTTTATGTAGTCTACTTTTCTAGAAACAAATTGTGAAAAGATCTTGTTTAGGTGTATGTATATTCAGCATAGGAGTCAAATTATACATAACAGAGTTAAGGAAAATTGAGGGAATTTGGAACATTTAGCAATCATCCATATTTTCATCATGTTTTTTAAAAATAGGTTCATCTAGTAACTGAAGAAGAGGAATCAGCTAATTCATATGCAATACATCAGGTAAATTTGCTTAAAAATTAGTATCACTTAAATCTATATGTAGACATTATGCCCCAAAGACAAAATGTTAACCAGTCCCCCCTCCCTTTTTTTTTTTTAACCACTTTTTAGTTCAGGTATAATTTATATACAATAAAATTCACTCTTAGTTTACAGTTCTGTGAGTTTTGATAAATGTATACAGCCATATGACTACCACAAAAATCAAGATAAAGAGGGGCCGGCCCTGTGGCATAGTGGTTAAGTGCTTGCGCTCCGCTGCTGGCGGCCCGGGTTCAGGTCCCGGGTGCGCACCGAGGCACTGCTTGTCAGGCCATGCTGTGGTGGCGTCCCACATAAAGTAGAGGAAGATGGGCACAGATGTTAGCCCAGGGCCAGTCTTCCTCAGCAAAAAGAGGAGGATTGGCATGGATGTTAGCTCAGGGCTGATCTTCCTCACCAAAAAAAAAAAAAAAAAACCAAGATAAAGAACAGTTTCATCTTTCCCTAAAATTTCCTTCTGTCCGTTTGTAGTCAGCCGCCAGCCCCAGCCCCTGGCAATGACTCATCTATTTTCTGTCCCTATGATTTTGCCTTTGAAAGAATGTCATATAAATAGAATCATGTAGTATATGGCCTTTTGTGTCTGGCTTCTTCCAATTAGCATAATAAACTTGAAATTCATTCATGTTGTATGTATTCTATTACCTTGTTCCTTTTCCTGACTACCTTTTGGTACAAGAAAAAAAGTCTAGACGTCATCAGCAAAGGAGAAAAATCCTACAAAATGTCTACTCATAAGCAGCTAAGAAAAAAAAGATTATTTTTGTTGCCTCTTGTTTGCTTTCATGTTTTTAAATAAGTAAGAAGAATGTAAAATTATCAACCAAAATACAAATAATGTGATTGAGCAGTAAGGGTTATTCTTTGTATTACAGAAATAATATGCTTTTAGGATTGTATGCCTGCATAGAGATTAAGTCTTTGTTGGCTAATTAAATGTACCTAAACTTCTTGTTCCATCTTTTCTATGTTAACAGTAGTTTGTCTAATAATATCTGACTTGAGTTGGTTACCTTGGTTATTATGAATCTTCTTGATTTTAATGAGTTCTTTTCTTTGCCTAGTAGGATTAAAAATAATCAAAGTAGTGTAGTATTCAAGAGCATGTTTTAGGCTGATTGTAATGTTTATATCCTGAGACTGTTTTTACGGATCCAGGTCGCAGTCATAAAAGTAAATTTATAATCATATATTTTTCTGAAGGCTATTTCATGTATCTTTTTTTCCCTTCTCTTGCACAGGTGGTTCTTCCGGTGCTTGGATACAATATTCAGTACCCAAAGAACAAAGTAGGGCAGTGGTACCAGGAAATACTTAATAGAGATGGACTACAGACATGTAGGTTTAAAGTACCTACTCTGAAACTGAATGTTCCAGGACGCTATAGACAGATTTTGAAACATCCCCATAATCTCTCATACCAACTAATGGAAGAACAGAATATTGATGTCAAAACAGAAGGTTCCCACATCGATGAAGCAACTTTATCTCTTTTGATCTCTTTTGATCTTGACGCTTCGTGTTATGCTACGATTTGTCTGAGGGAGATAATGAAGCATGATTTTTAAAACCAATACCCTTGATATAATTGTATATATGTCACTCTTTGAAGGAAAGGGACTAAAATTTTTTGAGCATCTACTATGTGCTAGGAGCTGTATAATTGTTATCTCTTTTAATTATACAATATCCTGAGGAAGTAGGAATTTGATGCTAATGTTCCAGAGGACATATAGCTAATAAGTGGTAGGGTCTGAATTTAGGACTCCAAAGCCTACATTCTTTCTATTATCTAATGTTTCAGTGACTTTTATTCTGTGCTATAAAAGTTACAATCGTTTTACACTATTAGGAGCCTATAATACTGCAGGATAACGTGTAGGAAAAAAAAGTTTTGGAGTAATGTTTATATCCTCTTGCTCCTTGCTTAGAATGTAGATGAAACTAGGTTGTAATGAAAGCATATGGTTGGAGAGAAAGATAGATGAAGCATTTTGTTAATTATTATTGTCATTCTTTTCCATTTTTGAAATTATGGATCAGAGCAATACATCAGGAAATAGAGTTTCTCTATTTACGATAGCTACCCCAGGGTAGTTTACCCATTTATAAGATAAATAATCATCCATGAAGATTGAAATAAACATTTTCATATAATTTCTTACCTCGATATACATTTACTCTCTTGACTTTTTGTTATTTTTTTCTATTATCTAAAACACAGATTTTAGAGTCAAGCAGATCTGGGCTCTGACACTTACTAGTGACTTTGGGTATGTTATTGACTCTTTCTGAGGCTCACTTATAGAATCAAGATAGCGCCAACCTCATAAGCAACAAATAATAGGATTATCGCCACCTTTTATGTTGCTAGAGGAAGAAAACATTTTGCCCATTTGAAAATTTAAGTATTTGTTGGTTTAACTATCCCACATCATAAATCATCCTTAACCATTTTATATCAGTTAAATTTGGGGGGGAAAATGGTATTTATTGATTGGGAAGATCTGAGCATTCTTTCATTACTGGTAGCATTATATAATGATGACATTTAAAAAGCACTGTTGTAGAGCATTCTATATCAGGAATGTGGCACTTTTATAAACTTAAGACAGTCAAACCATTTTGAATATATTAGCATAAGGAAATAAAATTCAAAAGATGAAAAAAGCTATATGCAATGCAAAATTTGCTTACTGAAAGAAATTAGAAATAGTTTGAAAGTCCAGTGTTAGATTAAGATAAAATGAGATGTATCAACTTGAGGGCAAATATGTAGTTATTAAAAATGAAGCTGAAGGTTTTAGGTGTGAGAAATTTTAGGTGAGAAAATGTTGCCCCTCAAAAGTAGAACATAGATATTACAAATGCAGTATATACACTGCATGCCGCTTTTACAAACGGGAGGAACTTGAACATAGTGATTAAAAGCTAGATATTTGGGACAAACTACCTCTTGACTGCCACTTATAGCGGTGTGGCTTTGGATGAGTTATTTAAGCTTTGTCTGCTTCAGTTTCAACGTCTCTAGAATGAGGATGGTAATATACCTGCCTCATAGGATTGTTGTGAGGATTTGCTGAGTTAATATATGCAAAGCAGCTTATAAAAGTGCCTGGCACTTAGTTATTGTTAAATAAATGTCCGTAGATGCTAGTTTGGAAGGGAGGAGAAAAAAAGAAAATGCCATTCTGCTAAGATGATAGGGTGTTTGGACTTTCTTTAATACTAAAAAGTTCCTTTTTTGTCATTATATATTTTAATAATAAGTACATCTCAGGACACAAAAATTGGAGATTGTAGTACCATTGGTTTTCAAATTATCTTTGTTGTTTTAGTGTTTATTCGAAATGATGCTATATGAAGTAGTAAAAAATTATTAGAAAAAATTTTTTACCTTTATTTCATATAAATTATATCCTGTAAGTGTAATCAGAAAATTAATTACGTAAATTATTAAATCATAGTTTTAAAAAAATGTTGAGTAACATTTAGAAAATATGAAAACATTAAAATGGTCTTTCATTGATATTATTTTCTTTGCCTGCAGATGGCACTAAAACTTCAGATAGCTTATTTATTTATTTATTTATTTATTTATTTTAATACTTTGGCCATTTGTAAAGAAAGGATCACTAAGTTTACTTCAGGTCACCATAAAATGTATTCAGATATTGTTCATGTGTAAAATTATTTTATATACCAATAATATTTGCCATGTTAATTTTTTTTTCAGTTTAAGGACTTGAATATACTTTGGACCAGATGATGACCAGTAACCTAGGTTTTTGCAGTGTTTCTGTGGGCATTTCAGGCCTTCAGAAGAATAAATCTTCGAATTTTTTCAAATGTGAATAACCTTTAATTTTCAAAGTTACATTTGCAACTGAACAATAGTGCCTCAGGATCACCAAGGTAAAACAAATTAAGGTCTTGTTATTAAGATGAAAACACTTGGATTTTTGTGAATTGTAATAAACTGAAAGTCATGTGTACCTTTTGATCCAGGTAACATTTATTGTCCCTTGTGCCAGGCATTCCACTTCTCATTTTAATCCATATGCCCACCCTGTAGGTAGGTAGTATTTGCAGATAAGAAAATATCTGAGTGGTTTACTGACCTATTCAAGGTCAAACAAGATAGTATGTGGTTGAACTTGATTATGTTTCCTGGATCAGTACTTTTTTTATCTAGCTAATATTTGCCTTCTGAAAGCAAGTTTTTTAGTTAATAACTTCCCTTTTTACCAGCTTGATATTACTTGCCAGTGATTAATAGGTATATTGGAGCATGTCTTGAGAGAAATAAGATTCCTTTTGTGATTCTGAGACCAAAATAAAAGGGATCCTTCAGCAAATTCCCAACTTATTTTAGGGTATTTTCTAGAATATTTTGGGATTTGGATCAATGATATGCAAAATCACTATAGGTCATAGGAAGTTATTTTAGATGGTAGCTGGTACAATATTAAATATCATTGACAAAGTACAGTGAGAAAGTTGCTCTTTTTTCAATTCTCTTTCAATCCTTTAATTAATCATTCTGTTTAAGGCAAAGAGAAAGCTGATTGATACTGGTTTACATGTATCACTAAAGCTGCTGATTTACCTTTTTAACAGACAGTGCAGACCTCAGGCTCAGGAATACCAGCAGGCAACAATATCTGACTAGAATTTAATAAGATTGCTTTGCTTTATTGAATTTATTTTTCCAGTTACTTTTTATTTATGGCAAATAATCCTGGTTTTCCACTTATATGATGATGTAATGTTTTTTTAAGAAACAAATTTAATTTTAAAAAGAGGGAGTAAATGTAAAGGTATTAAGGAAATACTAGTGTAGATAATGCTTTAATTATGACAGCAATACATAAACGCGTGAAATTTGGAAAATACTGGTATAGCTGAGCCCCTGAAACTAGACAGGGGCTGTACCACTGTGTTAGTACGTGGCTTTAGTAACACGCTGAATTTCTCTGTTGTGGTGTTCTCAGGTTTGAAGAAATGTTAGTAATCATTTTTCAGTCCAGGACAGTATTGAGTCAAACAAAATAATGAGAAACATACAAATTCAAGATATTATGAACACTGGTACTACTGATCACACACCATATCTTAAAATTTCACTGATAGGGACTTGATTTTAGAAAATCTTATGAAACACTAAAAACTGTCTAGCACCTAGTAAATTCTCAATGAATGTGACTAGTGTTATTATAGTCAATATTACATTGGTGTGCTCTCTGATGAAGGTTTTACGATTGATTAATGACTTTCCCTTGAGATCTGATATGACTCTGTCTTAGCATAAAGTAATTATAATTCAGTACACTTTTAGATTTGTTATTTTTTTTGTAAGTGGAAATAACTGTTTCTAAATCTGGGAATTCAACAGTTCATTCAAATTAAGATCTTTAAGAACTGTCTAGGGTCAGTGTTCCTCAGTATTTTCCACCTGGGAACTACCATTAAGAGACCAAAAAGAAAATGAAGCCACATATACCAATGCAGAGTTTTCTTGCATTAATGTAAGGATAGGAAAAGAGGTTGGAGAAAGATATGGGGAGTAAGGAAAATAGGACGTTTTTCTATTTACTTCTGAAATGTTTGGATTTTTAACGATATATTTGTGTATTAATTTTGCAGTTTAAAACCTTGAAAAATGCTTAAGGTTCAGAGAGGGTAAGGTAAGGGAATTGATGGATTCTGATTGCTGTTTTTTCAAAATGGTTCTGGTGGCTCATGCCAGTATATTGCCAGAGAGAGAAATTTATGCATTGTACATTTTAATAGCAGTAATAAGCTTAAAGTTTAGTGCCTATGCTATAGATTTTGCTTTCAGATTCAGAAAGATTCTGTCTTAGAGATAGCTTGTTGTCTTATGGTACTGTTTTAATCTATTTTTTCTAAGCCCTTCTGCTTTACATTTTTTTGATAGGCCACAAGGCAATGCCAAATATATGCCATAATAACAAATATTTGAGTGCCCCTAAGTTAAACGCACTCTATAAGATGCTGTGGGGAAAGACAAAAATAAATCAGATAATATCGCTGCCTTCGAGAGATTAACAGTGTTATATCCTTAAGATATCATTTGATTTGAAATGCCATCTGCAAAAAAAATATGTGGACTAAATAACAAAGAGAAAAACAAGCAGTCTTTCCATTTCCCTTATGGCTCACTGTATGACCAATAATATGTTACTTGACCTCACAGCACCCCGTTCTGAATCCTTAAGTAATACTTATATTAGCATTTGTAAGCAGTTTGAGATTTCCTCTTAAAATATGCTTTGAACTTATTCAGTCTAAATGCTACTTTCTAGAAGGCTACTAGTTTAAAGAATGGGAAATGGTGTTAATAGAGTTAATCTTGTGTAATTTCAGTGTGGCTTGTCAGGAATACCTTTAAGGAAAGAAAATGACTCTAATCTTCTTAAGCAATTCATTTTCTCAGCAACTGTGAGGCAGGAGCTAATTTACTCTGCCTGTGTACGTAGACCATGTCTTATTAAAGAAACATTTTACTCATGGAAAGAAGTCAGGATACCCATGAAATTATTTAAATTTAGACATATTGGAAAATACTACAGAATATAAGATATATTAAATTGTCTTTTTCATTATCAGTTTCCTTAATAAATACCCAACTCAATCACCAATATGCAAATAAAGTCACTATTACAAGGAGGAAATTTAATCATGGAGTCAAAACAAGAGCTATTTGGTTGTTTTTAAAGGGAAGGGATCAAATTGCTGCTCACTCCTTAACCAAGGGTGTTTGAGCAGCAGGATGGATGGGGTGGAGAGTGGAGAGGATTAGCGACTCAATTCTTTATGCTTTTATTCCAAGTCACTCTTTTCTAATAAGTCTTACTGACATTTTCTTAGACTGGTTAAGTCAGGATTCTGAATTTTTCACTGCAGTAGGGTTTTAATCTTAGCTGATTATTGTTTCCACTCCCACTGCTGGTCATAAAGGACTAGTGTTATTTTCTAAAGAGGCAAGGTGAAGATTCTCTCTATAAATAACCTTTATAATTTCCTTAGATTATAATAAAATGGATTTTTTTTGCACATGATTTTCAAAAGGATACTAATTTAGGCTGCATTTTTCTGTGAAATATCTTAAGGGAAATCTAATAAATTTTTAG